GGGCGTCCCGCCGCTCCAGTCCTCCGGGGCGAGAAAAGCCCCGTTCGTAACTGCAGATCCGACGTAAGTCGGATCCGCGTAACTCGGGGACTGCCTGTATATTCAAGTGTAAAGGTGTTCCATTTATACAATGCTGTGGCCTAATTCTGCAAAATTTATTCCTGTAACAGGTTCTCTAAACACTAGATCAAGGTGGAGAACCTAATGCCTGGGGGCCGGATGTGGCCCCTGGCATGCCTGGACTTGGCCCGAGGCTTGGGGCTCTCCCCCAGCACTGGGGAGACTACACCAGCACTCCAGTTCCCTCCACCGTCCCACTGTGGGGGCAAGAGTGCACACACAATCTATTAACCTGGGCCCCCCTAGACTCTTGTGTGTGAAGGGAACATGGAGAGTATCTTTCTCCTTCTGAGTCAGGGGCCACAACAGCAAGAGCTTGATTTTTCTTTTTCGCTTTTCACTTGTGTGGCCCTGCGACTACTTTTTCCTGTGGGCCTGTGGTCCCTGACCCCAAAAAAGGTTATAGAACTGGATCATCAGAATTTATATTATAACCGATCCTAAACCTTGCAGAAAAGCAAATATTTGAGATTACAGCCTGCACTTTTCAGTGCACCATGCAGGCTCAGAAGCCAATATAAAGAACCAGAAATGCATTTATTACACTTACACACACACACACACACACACACACACACACACACACACACACACACACACACACACACACCCTCTCTCTCTCTCTCAAGATTTTCAAGCTAATCTCATTATTTTGGGGGCATGGCTCAATTTTTAAATGCTTACAGTTGGCCATACTGAGTGTACATATTACAAAGGCAAATCAGATCAGAAATTGTATGCCTTAAAGGTGATAGCCATAGCCCATTTCTCCATACTGAATTCTGGAATGATAGGTCTCCTTTCTGCAGTGCTTGAACAGAAAGAAATAAGAATGGCATTATTCCTCCAGGTCAGGTCTGAGTCACACAGATGGGTATTATGACGAAGGGTGCACTTATCTGTCAAAGGCATGCCTGCTCTGAGGATAAAAAGAACTTCAGTCTCCAAGTGTCTCAAGCCTACATTAAATTCCTATCAGCTCATGAATATTAGTTTCGAAACCATTAAAAAACTGAAATTAGTCTGCTTTGCAAGTTTATAAAAGAAATACGGCACATGAACACACATGGAATATTCTAACATAGGATTCCTCAAATAGCATTTTAAGGCAGTGTTGTTTTTAAGCAAATATACTAACAAGTTTGCACATAGTTGCTTTCAACAAATGATTTGAGTAATTTATAGACATGAATGGAAAGCTCAATATCATCTCAGGTACAGATGTGTAGACCAGATAGGTACTATGTAAAGCTCCCACTGACATTCAAGGCAGAAGTAGATACAGAATCACGGCTTTCAGATTACTGGGGATATCACCCATGAACAGAGTCAAAAAATAGTTTAAAGAGATTCACTAATGTGTTGCCTACAACATTTTCTACATTCCCAATGTCTTCTATAATCCCATTCAGAGTTTTTCTTTTGTTTCCAGCATACTCTGTACAGCCAAAAAAAAAAAAATATCGTCATTAGTTGAGTTTAAATAAGCAGGGTCAGCTTCATTGGGGAATTTCTTCCCTTTTGGGGAAGGGAGAAGAGAAGGGAAAAAGAGGATGTACAGGTTCTTACATGGCTGTAGAAAGTGAAATACATAGATTATTTTGTCATTTAGCAGTATGCCTTTCAGAACAACTCTGCAAATGAGATATAATCATTTCTGTCCTGCAGAAACAGAATTGTTGTGCTGTCTTCCATTGAAAAGATTACTAAGCCATAACAAAGCAATTTCTCGAATTTCAAGTCTTACTATTTCGTAATAAAATTTTAAATCTAATCAACATTTAATTGCTGAAAATATTGACATGACCCTCTCTCCTCCTCGGCACACAAAAAAACCCAACCAAACAAATGAGTCAACAGATCAATCTATAATGACATTTTCTGAAAATATATACACAGTGGGTTAATGCTACATAACCAACATTAAAAGTGACTGGTTCAATTCTAGATTAAGTAGTAAGCATTTTATTAATGAATTATACACATTTTTCTTTAAAAAAAAAAGTTAAGTGTTCTGTGCTAGTCATATAACATAATCAACTTTAAAAAAAATCTTTAACCAACTGTATTCAAAGAAATCAATAGGTAATTGATTTACTTTCTCCCAACAGTCCAGGGCATATTCAATTTTAACGAAAGGTGCTGCCTACACATCATGCAGAATATAGCAAAACACAAGCCAGCTTTCATAATCCATAGTAGAGCACACTGTCGAGGATATAAATATAATTAATTGCTGGTGATTATGTCAAGCTCTGATATCTTTGCAAGGTTCTAAATGCAAGATGTGACAGGTGTTATTCTACAGAGCACAACAAAATGTGTACCCTCTACCTCCTTCAAAATGGATCAAATCAAAGAGTAATATTGACCTGCAATTTAATATGTGGCTCTGTTGGTCACATCAAAATGGCATTTGATTGAAAACAAAAGAAGTTAACACACAAGAGTATAGGACTCAAAAGACTATTCCATATCAAGGAATCACATACCAATATCTGTAGACCTTTACAACAATCTTCACTACTGCCAAAGACCAAAATCCATCTTCTTATCCCTTAAAGTTCCAAACCTTGTTAGGGTTCATGAGTCATTCAGGCTTTCCCCTCACACTCTTCCTAAAAATCTGATCTGCTGCCTCATAGCAGAACAGATTTACTTAATCTTTTTTTTTCCTCTACTAGCAGTGAGGGGGCAGGAGGAAAGGAATAGAACAGATTAACCAAACAAATCGTCACAGCCAGGACAGGGGGAAGACAAAACAAAACGAAAAACAATCCATGTTGCAGAAAAGAAAAGAAAAAATCTTCTTAATTGCCATTCAAGCAAGCAAGCAAGAAAATTATAAAGGAGCCACAGACTCCTCTGCTCAGTACATGTGGCCTCTAACCTCTTTTCTCAAGGACACAGAAAAACATCTCTTACTTTTTAAGACTTGTATGCGGCTGCTATTGAAGATAGAAAGGAGATGGAGGGGGAAGGGAACAAAACGGCAAGGAAACAGGGAAAGAAGAAAAAGAGAAATAGAAGGGGAGAGGAAACTTACAAGGGAAGAAAAAAATAGGTAAGAGAAACCCAAGGAGAGAGGAAAATGCAAACGGAAACAGAAAATAATAAGGGCTGCAGACAGAACTGCAAGGAGGAGGGGAAAGTTAGGGACGGCAAGACAGAAAGAGGGAAATGAAAAAAACCACTGAAAAAAGGGAGGTGGGTGGGAGAGAGAGGAAATCCAAGGGGAGAGGGACTCGGGAAAAGAAAGAGCGAAAACAACTGCAGAAAAAGAAGAGGAAATACGAAGGGAAGCGGCCCGAGGAAAGAGAGCGGAAAGGGGGCAAATGCAAGAGCGAGGCGGCGGCGGGGAAACAGGGAGAGAAAAGTGACAGAGGAAAGGGCAGCGGGAAGTGGGGCGGAGAGCGCCGCGCTCTGCCGGACAGACCACTCCGAGAAGTTTGCACTTACAGCTTGGACAACTGCAGAAAAAGAAGAGGAAATACGAAGGGAAGCGGCCCGAGGAAAGAGAGCGGAAAGGGGGCAAATGCAAGAGCGAGGCGGCGGCGGGGAAACAGGGAGAGAAAAGTGACAGAGGAAAGGGCAGCGGGAAGTGGGGCGGAGAGCGCCGCGCTCTGCCGGACAGACCACTCCGAGAAGTTTGCACTTACAGCTTGGCCCCGGCACAGCCCCGAGGCGGCGGCGGCGGCGAGCGCGGGCAGAGGCAGGACCCGGCGGCCAGGCGCGTCCTCTGGCGAGT